TTATTCTGGCCATCTGAGCTTCAGTAACGAGCCAGCGTAGGGGGCAGTTGTTGATGAATGTCTGTAGTTTGTTGGGAATGCCTTTCATAACGTGCCAAGTCTCTGAACCATACATGAGCACTGATTTGACGTTGGTGTTGAAAATCCGGATCTTGTTCACGCACGCTTTATGCTGAGTGGAGTGCAGAAGATCTCCACACTGGTTTCAGGCTAATGAACGCCTGTCTTACTGTCTTCCCGATCCTGGCTGGCTTTGATGTCCTCGTCTGTGCTTGTGCCACCTGTAGTTGAAACGATGCTGCCTAGGTAGGTTAAAGAGGTTACTTCCTTTAAGTTTCTCCCGTTGATGGTGATCGGACCTTGTTGGTGGTGTTGGTTGGGTGTCTTCATCATCCCTGTCTTCTCTATATTCACTTGAAGTCCCGTCTTTGCTGCCTCTTCTGTCAACTTGTTAGTTTTCTCCTGTAGATCTTCAAGTTTGTATGACATTAGACATAGGTCATCGATGAAATCCAAGTCTTCTATATTCTTTTCTGTGGTCCAGCATATCCCCCTTTTCTCTCTCCTCACTGTTCGCAGCATGATCCAGTCCAGTTGACCACAATGGAGAAGATCATTGGTGATAGTAGACAGCCTTGTTTTACTCCTGTCTTCACTTTACTTCAATGGCATCACTGAGCTTCCTATTGTGAATTACTTGGCATGTGGCATCTTCATATAGTTGTTGAATGAGGCTAATAAAGGTTTGTGGTATTCCGTAGTGTTGAAGCAACTGCCAAATTACTTGTCGGTCGACGCTGTCGGAGGCCGTTTCGAAGTCGATGAAGTTTAGGCAGAGGGTTGACTGCCATTCTATACTCTGTTCTTTGATGATGCACAGCGTAGCGTTGCAATTTGATCCGCACACGAATTTTTCTTCGTGAATTTAGTCAGCCTGTTCTGATCGTAGTTTTGAACCTGGTGTATCCTTTAGTCTCTCCAGGATGATGCGGCTTAGTATTTTGCTTGGGGTGGAGAGCAGCATGATTCCGTGCCAGTTCTTGCAAAGACTTAGGTCACCCTTATTCGGGAGTTTTACAAGTTAACCCTTCTTCCAATCAATAGGCAGGTAACTTCCCTTCCTTCCACACCTTCTGCAATATTGGTGTGAGCATGTCGACTGTTGTCTCTGCGTCTGTTCTCAGTGCTTCTTGCGGGATCCCATCTGGTCCTGCTGCTTTCCCGCATTTCAGCAGGTTTATGGCGTTCAGGACTTCCATTTTCGTTGAAGGATTTATGTTCACTTGTAGTTCTGTGGCTGGGATGCTGGTGATATTTGTGGACGAAGTTCAGGTGGTGGTGGTGGTCGATTCAAGAGCTTCTTCAAGTGGTCGGCCCTTTGTTTCCTTTGTTTCTCTTCTTTGGTAATTAAATTTCCTTCTTCATCTTTTATTGGTTTCATCTGTGTTGATCTCTTCCCAGATGGCAACCTGGTTATTTGATACAATGTTGTCAGGTCTCTCTTACCTGCAGCCTGTTCTGCTTCACTTGCCAGTGTTTCGTAGAAGTGTCTTTTGTCTTTCCGTGCACTCTTCTTCACTTCTTTGTCCAGTGTTTTATACATTGTGCTCAGTTTCTCTTGTCGTTGAGCATCCATGCACTGGTTTATCTTCTGCTTCACTATCCTCCTCTCCCTGCTCTATCAGCTCCCATGTATTCGTCGAGATCCATTCCTTATCTTCTTCCTTCTTCTTTCCTAATACGACTGTGCAGGTTACTTTCCACATAGCTTTCAAAGACATCCAGTGTTCTTCCACACAGGTTACTTCAGAGATGTTCCTCGATATCTCCCATTTTGTCTTGATGGCTGCTGTGAAGATCTCCTTTGTAGTTTCATCCTTCAGTTTCCGAGTATTGTGCTTGAACTGAGGTCTAGCACCAGCTTCCTTGAAGGCTTTTAACTTGATTTGGAAGGTAGGTTCCTTGCACCAGATGGTGAGTGGTCTGAACCTACATCTGCTCCTCTTCTTGACCTTGTGTTAAGTAGACTGCGTCTCCATTTTCTTGAGATTGAGATGAAGTCGATCTGATTTTCAGTGTAGTGTATCCTGGTGTCTGGTGAAATCGAATCCATGCGGCTTTGTGGATATCCTTTTGCTTGAACACACTGCCTCCAATCACCAAATCGTTGAATGCGCAGAATTCTGCAAACAATTCTCCATTCTCGTTCATCACCTCACCAAGCGCCTCGCGACCCATGGTTAGTTCTCTTCCTGTGTTGTCCGCTCCCAGTTTGGCATTCATATCGCCCATTAGAATTTTGATATCGCCAACTGAGTTCTTGTCCAGTGTTGATTGAAGTTGTCTGTAGAATTCCTCCTTTTTCTCTTCACCTGCATTATTTGTAGGTGCATAGTGTAGCATTGTATGATTGTGACCTTGCTTTCTTTCGAGTTGAATCTTGCTGTCATGATCCTGGAGGAGATTGGTTCCCACTGCATGAGAGTGAGCCTTCGATATTCTTGAAGGGGACATCATGATAGCCACTCCATAACTCAGTGTGCTCGTGGTTGTCGTCTAGGTGACAATATCGGAGTAGATTATTGATTCTCCAGTTGACAGTTTGGAGAGTCCACTCCCATTCCATATGCTTTCGCAAATTCCAAGCACTTCAATGTGATACCTTCTCATCTCTTTTGAAATCTGGGCTGCCTTGCTGGGTTCAAACATGGTGCGGACATCCCATGTCCCCATCCTTACTTTCGCTTTCATCGAGGGAGAGAAGACACATCGGCCAGTTGGCTTCCCGAAGGCTTTCACCAACTGGCGTCATTTCGCCTCTCCGATTCCAGCAAGGAATAATTTTGTTATTATTTTTTATATATAGTTTGTGCTTTGAAGTTTGTTTAGCGGTTAGATTTGTTTTACGGGGTAGGGTTGCTAGCCCTATGCCCAACCTTCCCTGTTTACCCGGGCTTAGGACCGGCTATTAACTAGTGAACTAGTTAACCAGTCGAGGTTACCCCAGTATGGTATGGTATCTTATAGTTGTTACGCATGCTTAGGCACCGTCTACTTCGTCGTACGGTGTTGAATGAAATAGGTTTAGATTACAAAAGGGTCTGCTTAACAACTGAAATCAGTGTTTACAAAGACTCGAGATTTGATATATCTGAGAATCGATCTCAGTGGTGTAGATCTTTCCTGTGTTCACGATTGATGTTTATGATATAATGCCAATTTATAACTCATTGATTGAGACACTCATCTCTGAGGCAACCCATCACGAGTTTAACTTCCTTCCACCTACTAAGCTTCAGATACCCAGTTAATATCAGTAACCGGCATACAATAGGTGTGACTCGTTTACCCCCTGCTGTACTAGTCTTCAGAAAGTTGCTGAGTAAACTTCTATATCTAAATGCCAACTCAGCTAATTTCAATTAAGAAATAATATAAAACACGTAAACACTGAACGCATTATTACTGCTCCGAAATGACTGTTGATATAGCAAGATATCGTGTGTATACAGGATTGTCTGAGATGATATTGAGGATAAATCATTTATGAAGAGAGTGCCGGCAATCCAGTTTTCATTCGTACAGATATTCATATTCTCCTAGTTGACATGATTCAAACACTATCAAGTTTTTTTCTGCCATTCTCAATAGATGTTTTCTGTACATTCTTTGTTGAACGATTCTCATTTATTATAACCCTAGTGTTAATGGATAAAACTAACAATCGACTAGTAATTTGGAAAATCAGTAATCATCTGAATAGGGGATGTTTTATTCCGATTGAATGTTAGTTATTCATGTATACATGGCTTTCGCACCTGTTAGCTGTCATCAGTAAAGTTCACTTCCAATCATTAGGTAACAGTCATGTTTCATTTAAAAGACTCAAAGCTATTTGATGCAATACGGAAGCTATTGATATCACAACTGATCCAATATAGGATTGGAGTTTGTATACAAATCAGTCATCGGTTGGTATTGATCTTCTCTAGTTTTAAATAAATCCTGGATGGAGACAAAATTTTAATTATATGCCTATGGTTTATTATTCTGGTGCTGCTGTGATCTATACACACCCATCTGTTAAGTTAACTGAACAGTTATCTACTTTTTTCATTCAATGATCAATGTGAAATTGAAACCTGGTTAGTAAGTTGGACTACTGTATCTGAACTGCTAAAACAATGAAAAGGCGAATTAGAGAAATGCTATATATATATATATATATATATATATATATATATATATATATATATATGTTTGAAGTTAGGTTTCTCTTAACTTCTTTACTCCGAAAGCCGCTTTATACCTAACTGCTGAAATAACCAATTACGTTTCTTTATTTTATGACCTTGACCTTGACCTCAATACCCGAACCTGATTGGTTATTTCAGCGGTTCCCATCTCATTCACTAGTAATAATTCAGAGTCACTGTCGATGAACCTGCATTTAGTCAATAATATACACCTTTTGTTATGTTTGTTTGTTTTCGGATAAAATTTACATCATACAACACTAACTCTGTATGGATATTGCTTTTGTGAATAGTTACTTGTCAGTCTTTTTCATTTCGACTATGTGATTGATTCATTAGCTGATTGATATGTACATGTTATTAATTCTATGATATCATAAAGTTGGTCAGTCCTCTCTTTGTATTCCTGTTTGTAATTGTCACAACTGAATGATCATTCTCTACTCTTTTAACTGAAGACACTTTCTGCGACCTTTCCAATTCTCTTCATTCACCATTCTGTGTACTATCATCATCAATGGCTTCCGATGAATTCTATGTTGTTGTTGTTGTTGTCGTCATCTTGCTCATGATCTCCACATATGATAAAGTTTGATTTTTAAACAGTATGTATTTGTAGTCTATAAAAGTCGTTGTCACCTCCCTTTATGGAAACGTTCAAATCATCATCATCATGAGTTCTGATGCTCATTCATCAGATTTGTCTCCTAACTGGTATTATTCTCCTTTAAAATGTTTCTACAGATTACCTTGACAGAGGATACAAAGGATGGGAGTAAGGAGGATATGGTGAATTCTGGTTCACTTGATGGAAATCCAGTGTGCAATCTACAATGGATTCCACCTTGTACAAACCCTCCAATCCAGTTGTTTTCACAATCAGTTGATTCAAGGTATCTTTCTTCCTGTTTTTGTGCAGATTATTTGTATCCGTTTGATGTGTGGATGTGAGGTGTGGTGTTTTGGACAGGTACACAGTAATGTCAAGTCTCATGTTGAGTGTTGACATTATCCATCCATCTGTCTGTCTGTCTGTCTGCTTACAACAGTGATAAAGTGTCTCATGTTCAGACTAAATTTATCGAAGTGGATCATTTCATTATCGGTGGTCTGTAGTTGGAATAGGCTGTGAACTGTGAGTCAAAGATCAGAATGTTATGCTCACAGGCAAAATATTGACATAAATTACATCTACTCACTTATTGTTTGTTCTTTCCGAAGTAATTTCTACAAATGTTTGTAAGAGATGAATCCCTTCATACACTATACATTGCTAAACAGTTTCAGTATTAAATTATTACTAAGCAAGAGAATGTAGGATTTGATGAGTTATGTGCTTTAAAACACACTTTTCAGGAGACAGTTTGAAAAATTTCAAATTTGGTGAATTGTAGTGGGATATTTCCAATCTTGTTCGTCTAAGAAAATCACATATTAATAATCATTATGTATCCTAGTGACGCAACAAGGTATGGTGGTGGAACGCTTGTTCCCTCGAGGTGCTGCTATACTAGGAATGTCAGTTGGAAAGTGGTTAGATGAGAAGCGGTTACTGTTATATTGTAGACTTTGCATGTGACAGGGGTCTGAGGGCAAAGTGGTATTGGTGACTGGAGAGGGATGTGGCAGCAGCGAGCTGTTGCCTTTCGATGACTAGGTGTACCACGCTGACACTGCTTTCCCTATGGGTAGTGGGGCTGAACAGGTTGGCCCTAAAAATTGCACACACCTATGTTCTGTGGTATTCAGGTGCCATCGATTCGGTCTCGCAGTCCTACTTACACAAAGCAAACTGAATTATGAAACATAACGAGGATGGTGAAGAGAGTTTGCAAGAAATACCAGTACTGCATGTAGAAGCACTATATGTTCTATTGGAGTTGATATAAGTATGCCATATGAAATTCGCACAGTTTTTCAGTACCGTTAGTGGGAAAACGAAAGATATTATGCAAAAGAAGTAACAGAGGAAGAAATCACGATAGGTATCACATCAGTCTTTTCCCTATCAATCTGGGTAGGTATGTCTGTCATGCTTTCTAATATTACACTGAGAATGTATGCCACAGTTGTGTTCCCCGTAGGTACGTCTCAGATTTCCCTATCTTCATAGAATTCGAAAATCTGTACGGTCAAGTTAAACCCTTTTCCCAACTTCAGATGATGATTGTGTTTGGTTCTAAGTCAGAATGGAGGTGGGGGAGGGAGGGGAATATAGCTCATCACCAGTGCTTTCTAGGTGATTTGATGTGGAAAAGAAGTTTAATACTCTGAAGATTTCAGAGGTGTGCAGGGGACTACAAGAAAATGCTGAAATAATTATTCTCAGTACAGACGATGGTTCAAGGGTCACGATTATCAGTCAAACTGATTATAAAATGCAGAATTGTGTGTATTATGAATGATGAGAATAAATTTTATGAAGTTCATCCTTGAGAATGTGTGTAAGTACTACATAGAACACAGTGAAAGATAATGTAATGAAATTACTTAGTTTAAGGTCAATTTTGATCCATTCAAGCCAGCAACATTCAGATTCTTACATCTATATTGTCTATTCAAAATGCATAAAAATCAGTAGTCACCTACGTCGGCTAGATCACCAATCTATAAACTTTCTTCATGTTTAATGAAATTATTGGCGACAAATTTCAACATCTTGTACTTATTTCATACATCGATTCTCCTTTATGCGTCTGAAAAGAACAAGAATAACAATAGGAGTAGGATAAAAGGGAGTTATTACATTTCATTGGTATCTTGTCAACTGATTACAAGCTAGAATACCAAAGGGGAAATATATATAGTTTTATTGAAAAGTTAACAAACTTTAATTAGAATGTCCGTCAGTGGTTAAGATGAACAGAAATAGTTAGACAGTTAAAGTCGATCGTACCAGCAAATTCAAAGAGGCCTATTAAAATGATCATAATTATATACATAATCTAATGAAATCATCAATTAACTATCTGATATTGTTGTAGTTCGGCAGACTAGTATTTATACTGGGCGGTAATTGAAAGTGAAAAGAAAATTTGAACCATTGCCGGATTCAAATTGGAATGAGAAGTCCTGACTACGGGTAGCCAATGAGAGTATGATCAAGCGGTAGTAACGTGTCACGCATTCATATGGTAGTCAGTCAAAACCACGCTTGTTATTTAAATAAAATAAAAATCTGGTCAGCAGTCGGACGTCGAAGAACTTGATGGCCATGAGGATAAATACTCAACGATAACATTGGGTGATAGTCGTGAGCTGAAAAAAGTAGAAAATGTGGGCCATTTGATTCCGACCCAGGGGCTATCTCAGTGGTAACGTGGTGGCCATGGAACCTGAAGGTTCTGGGTTCGATCCCTGGTGGTGTAGGGTCATGGGTGCGCACTGCTGAGGAGTCCCATACTACGACGAAACAGCTGACGTCCTGTGCTCCCATTTTCTCAGTATTCCTCAAATTGATGTCAGTCTTCGGGATGTATTTTGCAACTGTATGATACACTCTTGTTTCTGTTCTTCCAATGGGTCTTCAGCTACGCATGAATAGACATACACAGTGTGATTTAACATAACAAGGGTACCTGTTGACTTTTCACTGGACTGAGGAGCGTATTGTTTAGTACACAGGAATTAACTCGGCTATAGGGATCTTTGACATTTGGTTAGTAGTAGAATCTAGGACGCGTGTATTTTTCTATTTTGCACTCATCAGTGTTAGGCACATTGAAACTTGAACGCTAAACGTAACACATTAAACCTCAAAGCGTTATTTACTAGGCTTCATTTCTGTAACTGTATAAGAGAATCAAAAGGATCCCTATCCTTTAATGACTTTTGATCTTATAACAAGACAACTTAACCCTACCAATATTACTATGCCCTACTTTCATTTTTCTAACCTTTGTTGACTGACTAACAGTTGACAAATACCCTTTAATATAAGTGTAAAACTTGGGCAATGTGGTAGAATTTAATTACACATTAGATTCCGAGTATGTACATCACCTTATTGAAGGGTGTCTACTCGAACACTTGTGAGCATCTTAGAGCCTATGTTGAGGTGTCCGGGGGGGGGTGTGCTCATCGAGTGGTGTCCATCAAGGGTATCCAGTTTCTCCATTCCTATTCAGTCTTATCATAGATATTCTTATGGAGGTCTCCCTCTCGTCACCTGACTACACAGAGGTTGACCTAATCGCGGGAGAATTTCCGTCAAACCTACAATACGCAGATGAGATAGTCCGACAAAATGCAGAGTCTTCTCGGCACCGTGAGTGGCAATTTTAGAATGTTTGGGATGCGTTTCTCATCACCCAAATGCCAATTGTTGCTCCAGGATTGGTCTTCAACAGTGCCACGGCTAACAATAGAGAGTGAAGTGGTTGAGTGTGTCGACCACCTCACTTACCTGGGAAGTAGGATCAGCCCCAGTGACTCAGTGGCCGACGAAATTTTTGCAAGAATACAAAACATGGAAGACATGAAAAGGCTTCAGGTGTTTGGCTACCGTTGCTTTCATAGTATAGACCGTATCCCATGGTGTCACCACATGAGCAACGCAGAAGTCAGGTGTAGAGTTGTAAGAAGGGAGAAGAAGTAAGTCAGTTGACACTGTTGTGAACCTTGATGGATTGAGATGCCTGGTAGGGACACGTGTTATGTATGCCTAGTTGCCGTCTACCTCGTCACATATCGTTGGCTGAAGTAGGTTCAGGCTCGAAAATGGCTCGAGGTGGCCAGACTAAAATATGGCATAAATGCATGAAATAGTTGACTGATGGCTTGAGCTATGTGGGGTGATTCAGACTAAGTGGTTGAGGTCGGTGGGACAAGAGGAACCAGTGGTTGGTGACTGACTTTAGGTGATCACATGGGTGAGAACCAATGTCAGTGTGGCAGATGTATGGCCACATACATTATCCTTATCTTAACGACTATATACCAAATCTCACCATTTTTTCATTCATCCTTTCTTTCTTCGCGTACTTTATATTTCTTTTGACTGAATTTTCTTCTCGTCCTCTTCCACTTCTCTATCTCTTTACTTGATGTGATGATTTGAGGTGTGGCAGCAACTCGGACCGTTACACAGTAAAACCTAGTCCTCTGTTGACTCGGATAGATGGATGGATGGATATTAGATTCTAACCCAGTTACTAACTCAATGGTGGTGTTCCGGCCACGTAACCTGAAGGTCCTGAGTACGATCCCTGGCATTGGGGGTTCATGTATGCGCGCTGCTAAAGGGTCCCATACTAGGACGACACAGATGCCATCCATTGTTCATCCAACTGATGTCTGTCCATGGTGAATTCAAACCTAGAAGCGTACTAGATTTTTTTATTTATTTATAACACACAGTGGTGATACAGTATCATTTGCTTGATGATGTTTCGAGGATAAATTATTACTGCTCATAATCATATTATGCAATCACATTACTTTTGACATTTGATTTTTATAGTTATGTCACCTCATACTATAAGTTTTTAGTGGTAATAGACTTTTTTCCAACCTCGCCTGGTTAACTAGTTTCCTAGTTACTAGCCGGTCCTAAGCCCGGGTAAAGAGGGAAGGTTGGGCATAGGGCTAGCAACCCTACCCCGTAAAACAAATCTAACCGCTAAAGAAACTTCAAAGCACAAACAAAATATAAAAAATGAAAACAAACTTATTCCCCGCTGGAATCGGAGAGGCGAAATGACGCCAGTTGGTGAAAGCCTTCGGGAAGCCAATTGGCCGATGTGTCTTCTCTCGATGAAAGCGAAAGTAAACGTGGGGACATGGAATGTCCGCACGATGTTTGAACCCAGTAAGGCAGCCCAGATTGCAAGGGAGATGAGAAGGTATAACATCGAAGTGCTTGGGATTTGCGAAAGCAGATGGAATGGGAGTG